GCATTATCTTACTTGCTTTTCGTCTTTTGCATTCCTTACTGGTTAAAATCTCGCTGTTCATAAATGTTCTCTTATGTATTATGGTCCAGTTGGCTGAAGTGAGTTTCTCACTTTCAACTAATGTGCACTTAGGATGGTGATGATGAGGACCCAGTTCAGGTGTCAGACGTGCCGCAGGAATTTTTCTTCCAACAGCTGCCTTAAGCAACATCGTCGCCCTACCCAGCACGTCCGACACAATGCAGATAGTTTGTCTCGATTTTCACTTTATTCACTCTTGTGGTTGGTGCATTCTACTCCATGTTTGCAGAAGGTTTGCGTGATCTCAAATAATCTTTGCTTACGCGATAGATTGATAGTTTGAGAAAATGCATCAAACATTTAGGCTGATACTATTCTAGCGCCATAAAACTTGTTAAGCAGGCGCGGTGCGTAATATCTTTTAACAATCACCATCTCAAAATCCGTCACATTCTACTCCTAGCCGGTGACCAAGTGATCTGCACGCCTGGCTTGCAACCATAAGGTCACAGGTTCGAATCCGCTTATGGGCGGGCGTCCTCGCGGTATCCTCAGCCCATTCGCTACTGGTGGTGGTCGCGCGGCAGCACAGCGCCGTTACAGGCTACAGCTGAAACATTATTATGTTCTATTACTCCTTTCAGCTGCCTGTGCAATCCGCGGGAAACTCCAACACACACTATCACTCTCCATTTTGTCCACCACTGCTCACACGGATGGGGACGCCATTCCTACACACTCCACGGCTAAGTCTCACTATCAGTCTGGTCTCTTATCTACGTCCCGGGACACGTGTTCAGCTTTGGTTTGTTGTAGCATATATCTTTCACCTCCGTTAACTCGTCTGCCTAGTTTGGTGGCGCTTTTCGTGCTAATTCGAATGGTGTTTGCAGATATTCACTGAAAGAAGATGGAATGCGGTGCAAATGGTGCCCAAAGACAGAGGTCACAGAATGGATTTAAACTGTTTGTGGTGTGCAACACTGGAAATCTTAGGAACGAACGTAATCGAGGCAATATTCATGTAGGGCGGTTAGCAATATGAAAGAAGACTGATTAAAATGGAGGTGACGAAAACGGTGTTCATCTGGGCTACATCTCTCGGAGTAATGCAATCAACAGTGGGTGCAGTTCCTTTCGTAAACAGAAGAGCGCACCATCCCTTTGCTCAAACTTTCTAGAAAATTCTAGAAATCTGGGTGACACCATCTTAGCTACGCAAGTAAGTTAGCCCCTTCAGCATCTAAATTACACAAGAGCTGAAAATGAGAATTACACTTAAACTATTGCACCCAATACACAAAGATAGTTGGCGGCATCCGATTTCGGATTTGCCTGTCACTTTGGCGAGCCACAGGACGCGTGCGCCTATTGAGGGACCATGAGTGGCTTGCTCTGTACCACGCACAGCTGCAACCACACACCCCATATCCAGTGTAAACCCGAAGGAATAATACCGGGAGGCATGTGAATGGGAGCCATGTTTCATCAACCGAGCCGACCCATACTCCTTCACAAGCAAACATAAGCACGTTGTATTTGGGGAATCAACCGTGCACAAGACGGTGGCTGGACCATAGTCCTCTCTACACTGAGTGCATGAAACCGCTCTTCGAGCCTAGCACAGCCACAAAGACCGTGCACCCCGTCAACCCAGCAACCATTCACACTCTCCTGAATCCAACAATTCAGGTGGAGGGTGTTAGACATGTACCTCGCCAGCATGCACATCAAGCGCAGCCACACCTGGGATATAAAGCAACAGCCAATCAATGGACAATGGACAATGCACAATGGTTTATTACGGGTAAAAAAGCATCGCTTAACAAGTCGCGTGGGATGGAACTTATTGCGAAAATAAATTGCATAATAAAGTGAAAAGCGTTGTGGTGGACTCACCATGGACTTATGTGAAATAGCGGATATGTTCACATATTAAACGTATAAATCCATAAATCCAATGGTTGGGCGTTTGGCAAGAAACCGTTTGATTACGTTTTGTAACCCCTGGCTAACAAGTCATAAAATGAAATGTAAGTGAGACAATGCATCGTCAACACGTTTTTTAAATATCGCCAGATCGGGAGCAGAGACGACATAATTAGGGAGGGCATTCCAAGGCTCACACACGGAGAGAAAAGAAATTATTACGGCATTCAAGCCGGCTATACTGAATTGTCAGTTTCAGAGGGTGACCTCTTAGTTTCGTGTTGTGGTTCAATTCCAGCAGCGGACGGCAAATGTGGTTTGGGTTCTTCAGAATCTGGTAAACCATTATGAGATCCCCCCGCAAAAGCCGATATCGGTTGTTGTACATTCTTAGAGATTTCAGTCTAAGCTGATAGGGCAGATGAAAGAGGCCTCTGACGTTCTTGGTTGCCCGTCGTTGAGGAGTCTCGAGAGCAACGAGATCCTGTTTCTGCCACGGCTGCCACGCCTGAATAGCATATTCCACGTGAGGTCGCACATAGGCGTTAAGCATGTGGGGAAATATTGAGGGTACAAACCAACCGAAGGCTCTGCGAAGAAGGCTGAAGTGTTGATTTCCGGTTCTCGTCGCCTTCTCTGCTTGTTTTGAACACCCAAGATCTTCCTGTACCAATACACCCAGGTCACGCTCCTGAGAAACCTTCGCCAAGGTGTGTTCTCCAATCTTGTACGCGCTCACCAGCTGGTGACGCAGATGCATCACTTTGCACTTAGCCATGTTCACTTGAAGCTTGTTCTTCGTTGACCATTCGTGAATGCAATCTAGGTCATGTTGGAGCCGGTCCTGATCTGCCTTGTTACAAATCGCCCGCCATATCTTGACGTCATCGGCGAAAAGCAGGAAGTTCGAGGAGATGACTCTTGCCAGGTCATTGATAAACACCAGGAATAAACGCGGTCCCAGCACTGAGCCTTGCGGGACACCACATTCCACCTCAATTGGGTTAGAAAGTGATCCCCTAACACGTACTTATAGCTTTCGTTGGTAAAGGAAGTTGCCAATCCAACCAAGTACAGGATCTTTGATTCCGTAACTTTGTAGCCGTTGAAATAGGATGCGGTGATCAAGGCGGTCGAAAGCTTTGGAGAAGTCCAGATAGACGACGTCGACTCCGACCCCATCATCGGCCACTTCTGTCCAACTACCTCGTGCAATAAGTAGATTGGTAGTGCATGACCGGTGTTGACGGAAGCCATGCTGTTCCGGTACCAAGATGTTGCATTTTTCCAGGTAGTCCATTAAAGCTTCAGCGACGACTGCTTCCATCACCTTCGCGAGCACAGGGAGGAGAGTCACTGGACGATAGTTTGCAGGATCTGAACGGCTGCCGCCTTTAAAAATAGGGGTGATAATGCCACACTTCCACATAGTGGGGACTTGTTGTTCATCAAAGCACCTTTGGAAGAACTGTGACAGTGGTTCAGCTAGCTTATTAGCCACAGCCTTCAGTGCCTTCGGGCGGATGTTGTCTGCTCCCGGAGAACTATGTTCACGCAGTGAGAGTAACTTCCTTAGCACAATTGATGGGTTGAAAATAACATTTGTAAACAGAGGTGTCGGTAATGAGCTTGATATTATGGGACAGGTAGAGATTGCGAGTTCAAAGATTGGGGCGTATTGCAGCCGCAGGGCATTAGCTGCATCTTCGGCGCTTTGTACTCTACCGCCTGTCGTGAATAGTGGGGGTATTCCATGTTTCACTTTGCGAAGCTTATTGACATGCTTATCCAGCAGTTTATTGTTTGCCATGAACTTTTTGGCTAGGCACTGTTGATACGTTATTTTGTTCTCACGGACAAGTGCGGTGCAATGGTTGTGATGGGCCAGGAAATTTCCCCAAGTCTCTGAGTCGGGGTTAATGTTGTAGGCACGCCATGCTGCATTCCTTATCGCCAGGCATTTGCGAGTCCTACTCCTTATAATTGAAGGCATTTTCGCGGGATGACGGGGTTTGGTCTCTGTTGCTTTGTTGACGATGTCGCTGAGCTTATTAACGAACTCTGCCCAAACGTTGTCAAGGGGACTTTTGTTTGAGAATTCCCAGGAAGCTGCGTTCTTTCAATACGTGGTAGCGTGTGATTGTATGAGTTAGTTCCGAGTGTTCATATGGATACTCTACATAACACACATAGTCAAAAGTTATTACTACGTGGTCACTGCGACCTAATGGACTATCCATCAATAACTTCTCAATCATGAGCTCTTCATTTGTGAGCACAAGATCCAATATGGACGGTTTGTTTGCTGTCCTGAATCTAGTGGGCGTAGTGACATGATTGTACAAAGGGATATTAGCGATCAGTTCCTGCAAGTCTGCTTTGAACTGCTCACTAGGCGATGCCGAAACCTCCAGATTGTGTAGATTGAAGTCCCCGGAGATGAGAGTGTGGCTGTACCTAGTGCGTGTTACTCTGTTTAGGCCACGGATCAAGCAGGAATCCATTTCCAGAGTGGACGTTGGGGGGCGGTAAACGAAAGCTATGAGACATGTATCGTTGTGTCTCAGTCGGAGACGGCACCAGAGTGAGTCGGTAACGTGTGTTTCCAGGTCCTCAACTATGGTACATTGTAGATCGCTGCGGTAGTAGAGTAGGACCCCACCTCCTCAGTTGAAACGAAGGCATCAAATACAGTAAGTAGAATAATGAGTACAGATACGGTGACAAAACTCTTCACCAAATGAGCGTATGAAATAAATTAGTTAGTTAGTTAGTTAAATATATCAGAATAGATATTTTAAGCAAATGCCACTGTCGTGTTCAAACGCTTTGCTTTGTTTTTGCTCTCGATTCGCTTATCCAACTCACACTTCTATTTAGCACTCGTTGGCCTGTCATGTGTTCTTGCCTTTGTTTGGCTGCGGTGCGAACCTCCATAGATTTAATTGTACTGCGCGCCTGTGCGGACAGTTTCCACCATACATACGTTCCGGTGCTACTCTGGTTTGCTGTTTTTTCGGGGTACAACCAATTGGCGTCGCGTGTTACTGATGTCTTTGCCTGCTACTTCCCCTTCACGGTTCTGGACTGACTCTGCATTTACTCCAAATGCAGAATGCTGGGAAGACTGGAAAATTAGTTTTTCAGCTTATATTTCTGTGCTACCAGTTCTCAATCCATCCATGACGCTGAAGACGGAGCATACTTTAAAGCCTTTGCGCTTGCACTTCGGTTCAGAGGGTCGACGTATATTTGATGCTCTAAACTTGCGGAAGAAACCCACGTTGACAAAGGCCTTATCGACCCTCGATAAACATTGGGATATTCGAGTGAACACCTATAATTCTCGGTACCATTTTTCGCAGTTGAACCAAGCATCTGGTGAATCAGTGGATGCATTCATTTCCCGTCTTGTTTGTGCTCTTCGAAAGTGTGACTACAATAGTATTCCCAAGAAAAAAGTGGAAGAAACCATTGCACTACAAAAATGGATTTCTGGTCTCACGGATTCACGGACCAGAGAGAGTCTCTTAATGGAGAACGAAATAAAGCTCACATGGGACAGGGCCTGTGACGTGGCTCGAGCGAACGTCGCAGTCACGGAGCAAAACAAAATTTTCCTCGCTAACACAGGAGCTACTGAAATCGACCGCTTGAATTCTACACGCTCTCTGACGCGATCCTCAGTTAGAAATAAATGTTACCGTTGTGGAAATGCTGAACATCGTGCAAATGATGTCCTGCAACGAGTGAACTATGCCGGAATTGCGTTAAGCCCGGTCATTTCGCTCGGGTTTGTCGTTCACGCGCCATTTCGTCAGTTGATTCTGCAAATAACTCCAGAGCTTCTCCGGTCACCACTGAACAATCTATATATGTCGTTAATGAATGCGAACATCCACTTTCGTCTCCAACTTAAGAACCCAAACTGTCTTCGCCAGCTATTCGTCGTGCTTTTTGAAGTTAGAAACAAAACCATTCGTCTAGACATGGAACTATATTCCGTGTCACCAACCACAGTTGTGTCATATTGTTTTTACAAACAGCATTTTGGTCAGTTAACTGTACATCCTTCCGCTTACACTTTCAGCAGCTACTCAAATGGTGATGTCCGCGTAGTCGGTTTTGTTACGGTTTCAATGTTTCTTATAAACAGCAGGAAGCGTATAGTTGAAGTTTACTTCTCTAAAACTGATAGTAAAGCTCTACTGGGACGTAATGCCATGGTCTTATTGAGCGTATCACCATTCTTCAGCCAGATGATCATTGCCAGCGTCAACCTTCATTCGTTACTTACCAGTTACCCAAAGCACCTTCTTCCGGATATTGGTAGAGTCTCAAAGGCAATGCATCGCATTCAGTTGAGTGCGGATTACAAACCTTTCAGCATTTCTCAAGCTAGGGCTATACACTTGGTCAAGCGTAAAGCGTTCTCGCAAGTTTTGAAAAATATGATCAAGGAAGACTTGATAGAACCGATACAGTGTTTTAAATCGGTTCATCCACTTGCTGCCGTTCAAAAGAAAAATGGCTCGAGTCGTTTATGCGCGGAGCTTCGAGCGTTTAATCGACATATACTTGTGGACAAGTTCCCTCTGCATTCTCTCGAAGAGGTAATGATTAGGTTTAAAACGCCAAAGTTTTCTCAAAGTTGGATATTCGCAGTGCATACTACCACATGCCACTGACTCAAGTTTGCCGACATTTGACTGCTTTCCTCACGTAAGACGGTTTGTATCAATACAAACTGCTACCAATGTGTTTTGGTAGTGCCGCAGCAGCTTGGTAGAAATGTATTACTCTATCGTTATCAGATCTAAAAGGATGTATTGTGTATATGGATGATATTTGTGTCTTTGTCAGTAACCCTACCGAACATCAGGAAAACCTCCGTAATGTGCTGCATAGATTGAATGAACTAAATCTCCGCCTGAATACCAACACATGCCAAATCGCGGTAACGGAGGTCGAGTTTATTGGACATGTTATTCCTACCTCGGGTATTAAGCCTAATGTGCAGAACACCAGAGCCATCCTCGATTGTCCAAAACCATGCAGCATTACACTGATGAAACAGTTCTTGGGTTTGTGCTCTTATTACCTTCGACATTTACCGAATTTTGCGATTATTGCCGAGCCGTTAAGGAGGTTGACGCGCCAAAACCAGATGTTTCGTTGGGCCACTGAACAAGACAATGCTTACTTGACCATACGAGTGATGATTGAATGCACTTCCACCGTAGCGATCTTCAATGAGCACTGTCCAACGTTTGTTTCAACGGATGCTTCAGATGTTGGCTTGGGTGAAGTTCTATCCCAGCTGCACGATGGCGAGGAGAAAGTGATTGAGTACGCATCACGTACCTTGTCTGACACTGAAAGAAATTATTCCACCGGCGAGAAAGAGGCCCTCGCATGCCTTCGGGCATGTGGGAAATGGCAGTTTTATTTATTGGGATATCGATTCACGTTGCACACCGATCGTTCCGCTCTTAAAACGTTACTAATTCGCGGTAACAAAAGTCAAAAGCCGGTACGATTGATTCGCTGGTACTCGTATTTATTGAACTATGATTATGAAATAAAGTAAGTGCCAGGGTGCTTTAACCAACTTGCAGCTACCATGTCGAGACTCCCACTGTCCAACAAAGGGGAGAAAGAAGACTTAGAGAGGGTAACATGATATCACAGCTATCATAGCTCTCTCACACCTACAATAACATTTGCCCTGATACGACAGCACGCTGACAAAGACCCTGTCCTAGCGAAGCCTCGGGAGTACATATCCATTTCATGGCCCAGTCGTACCGAGATCCAACCTGAGTTACTTCCATACTATATCCTACGGCACAAGCTTTCCACTGTGAACAACTACATTATTAGGGGCGAGCAGTTTGTGCTTTCTGCATCCCTTATTCCTATGGTGGGTACATGTGCGCATGAAGGTCATCCAGGGATTGTGCGAACAAACGCTCGGATACGATAATACTATTGGTAGCCGAAGTTGAATTTCATCGTCGAGGTGGTTATTCAGGAAGGTTATGCCTACCAACAATCCGATAAGAAAAGAGGCCCCCGAATGCTCCAGCCCAACCTATCGTGTACCCAATTAAGCCATGAGCAAAACTTTGCCATCGATTTTATGGGCGCGTTTGCCAATGCACCTCCGCAGAAGCGAAACAGGCTAGTGGCTACACGTTTCTACAGCAAATGGCCAGAAGCTATTCTATGCGGGGACGTAAGTACAGCCATCATCATAAAGTGGCTGCGTTGTTTGTTTGCAAATTACGGTTTGTCAGACGAAATGGTCACTGATAACGGCCCAGAGTTTCGAAGTAACGAGTATGCTGAATTCCTGAGGCGCAATGGTATCAGACACACGAGGACTGTACCTTATAATCCTGCAGCGAATGGACTCGTCGAATGACTTAATCGTACTTTGAAAGAATCTCTGCAATTGCTTCGACTTTCTGGAGAATCGTGGGATGATATGTTGTCATCTGCATTGGAGGTATACAGAACCACTCCACATACTCCAACGGCAACAACCCCCTCGGAGCTAATGCTAGGTGGCAAACAATTCAACTCGATTAAATGCAGCCTTTACATCCGAAGAAACAGCCAATCATATAGAATACAAACGGCCGGCTGTTTACCGGGCTAAATATATATGTGGTAGAAGAACGTATCCTTCAGGGACATTTGTTCGTGTGAGACTACCCAATTCCTGGAAAGGAGGCAATGTATTCGGACCGCCGACCCGTGTAAAATCTGTGTGCACGCCAGGAACTTACAAGTTGACTGATGGGACAAAGGTGCATGCAAGACGGCTGCACACAGCGCTTTTCCGATGTGCTCTTGAACAGACAAACACAACTAGAACACAGCAATCGGTACAAACTAATACAAACTAAGGACGTTCCGGTCGGATACGCCGCCGTCTACCGATACGCCTTAACGGATAACACTACATGACAATTCTTCGGGGTGCTGGCATTAAATAATAGCGTTCATGGACATGTAGTGCCTATATCTTTAAGAACAGAGGAGGGGACAATGTTGTGTTCAAATACTTTGCTTTGTTTTGTCCTCGATTCGCTTATCCTACTCAAACTTCTATTTAGCACTCGTTGGCCTAACATGTGATCTTGCATTTGATTGGTTGCAATGCAAACATCTATCGATTTAATTGTACTGCGCGCGTGTGCGGTCAGTTTCCTCCATACCTACGTTTCGGTGCTACTCTGGTCTGTTGCTTTTTCGGGATACAACAGCCACAGACGCGAAAATGTTAGCTAAAGTAGTTTAATGAACATGTGCAAGTTTCTAGAAGATAGTTCAGGTAGACAATAATATGAGATAAAAAGCATTAGGACAATATAGCAAAACCATCACCTGGAATGAAGAGACTCAACATGCAATCACGCGGTTAGTAAATCTGATGCAGCCTACCTACAAACGCTGCGCTGTTTCTGCTTTGGTTCACTGCAGGACCCGTCGTCGCTTCGGTAGTGGCACCGAGTGGCTTCGCTCATGGCTCACTAGGCCTGCCTGACTCAGGCACTCAAGACCGCATGTGCTACAGCACCATGCGGTCGATGTCAATGGGGTACAACCCAACGGCGCTTGTCGCTGCCGCACTTGTCGCTTCCTCTCCGTATGCACGAAGGCTTTCTCTTGCACCTCGACAACAGCCTTCGTGATCAGATCGCGCCATGCACGCCGATCAACCGCTTTCGATTTCCATGACCTGCAATCAAGATTAGAATGTGACAGGCTCACTTTGATCATGTCCTGTTAACGAAGCTTCGGTTTCCCCACATGCCGCTTCCCCACACTAAGCTGACCATATAATAGCTGTTTCGGTATCCGCGTCGAATCCATACGCCACACTTGACCGAGCCATCTCAGGTGTCGCAGCAAAAGTATGCAGTCCGCTGCATGCATTCCACTACGGCGAAACAATTTCGTGTCCGCAACGCTGTCGCACCAACCAACGCTCTGAATCCGTCGCAGACACGGTTGCTGGAACCGCTCAGGATATCACGCATCCTGCCAGTACATCGTCCACGTTTCGTTGCCATATAGAAGAATGAACAGCACTATGGATTTGTATACCATCCGCTTCGTGCAAATGGTAAGCTGATGGTTGTTCCACACTAGATACTCCGGCTTCCCTAATGCAGCCGCTGCCTTCGATGCGCGGATACGATGCTCACTGTGTAGCTGCTGGGCAGTCGACGCCACACTCCCAAGGTATCAGAATCGGGAGGTGGTTTCCAATACGTCATCACCAATGCTGATTCGCGGCACCGTTGTAGAATGCAATTCCACTGAAGGCTGAAAGATGGGAGAGATTCTGTAGGATGAGTCAAAATTTCATATGGACAAAAGGGCAACCAACGTAACAAACTGAGAAGAGGATAACAAATATCCGAAAATATTACTGTTTCATGGGATGATAACACAGGTGATATACAACGCTCTTAAGCCGCTGGGCACCGACGTTCCCCAGATGTATGGCCTACCCATGATTCACAAAGATAGCGTCCCACTCAGACCGATATTATCCATGCATAACTCACCGTACCGCAAGCTAGCACGTTGACTAGTGGAACTACTGATACCAGGTAGAAAGATGATAGTAACACACACCCTGAAAGCTACTTTGAGTTTATTGTACAGTTACCCGAAAGCAACATTTCGAACAAAGGTCTGAGTTTCATGAATGTACAGAACTTATTTACCAACATTCCTCTTAGAGAAACAATGGATTTCTTATGTGACTTTTCACTAATGAGTAAGTGCCTCTGCCGATTCCTATAGAGTATCTCATGGATTTGTTGCTGCTCTGCACGACAAATCTATCGTTTAGGTTCGACGGACAGCCATATCGACAGGATGATGTCGTGGCTATGGAGGGTCCTCTTGGCCCTCTGCTGGCGGACATATTCATGGCGATGGTCGGGTCAGACTGTGAGCCAGACCTAAGACAAATGTGCCTTTACAAGAGGCATGTGGACGACTCATTGGTGATCGCACCAGCCTTAGAGGCGGCTCGGTCCCTTCTCAAAGTTACGAACGCTACACACCCAAATGCCCGCTTCACTGAGAAGTTGAGGATGATAACCGCCTGCCTTTTCTAGATGTACTACTGATACGGCAAGGATAAAGCACGATATATCGTATCGTTTACAGGAAAGCGACATGGAGCAGTTTGTATGAACACTACAGCAGTTTTACACCGTTTCAATACAAACGATGGCGTGTCAAAACGTTGTTCATTAGGACCCGCAGGATATGCATTACGGAATGCATCGAGGCTGAATTGCAATTCATCACGCAAACTATACGGGCAAATGGTTACACAGAAGCCTTTATTAGGTTACATAGCCGCCCCGGGGAACGTGAACAACCGATCGTTCTTACTGTACCAAAAATGCCTGTTTATCGGCGACTATCCCTTAAAGGGGATATTTTGGCTAGGCAGGTAGAATGATGCACAGCAGTTGCAATACGGCGTGCATTCGGTGTGCGCTATATGCTGCCTTCTCTGGACAACTAAGAAGCTATCACTGCCCCCAGTCAAGTCTATTAAACCGGTTTCCGCCACAAGGCACTGTAACTATCTATTTGTTTGTAACTGTGGAAGCAATTACATAGGCAGAACAGAAGGTTGCTTGAGTAACCGGATTGAGGGGCACATTCCGAAGTGTATCATTACCTTGACAACACAGCTGACGAACAACATACCCGCTTCTTCGATTGCGAAACATCTGATGGAAACGGGTCTTCAGGTGGACCTCAACTCGGGGTTTAGTGTCATCTACCGTAACACAAACGCCAGAGTCCTCAAGTTTTCTGATGCGGTGGTTATACAAAAGCATTCACCAACATTGTGCGTTCGAAAGCAGCTGTTCGTTAAGCTCAAACTTCCTTGGTTAAAAATTCCTCATCAACCTGTGGCCAAGGTTTACTTCGCTTGCATGTGATCTCATGCTTACAAATTACGGTTTTCTTTTTTGTCACCTTACCATTTGATATGTTGTCCGTTTTCAAGTGAACGGAAGGCACGAAATAGTACCATCCCAACAATCATTTGTATTGTGCTATTCAAGTTAATACAGGGAACTCAATTCTTCAAGTTTTCCATATGTTGATGGTGAGTCAGAATTTGGCCGCTGTCGAGGCCAGGGCACTAGTCATGTGCTGCAACTCATCCGCGCTGCGTGAAAACAACGCACAGTCGTCAGCAAACAGCAACATGTGCAGAGTTGTCTCACAGACTAGAGTTCTTGCACCGAAACGACGGATGTTCAGCAACACACCATCAATCCGCTGCTTCACACGGACACTGTAAGCACAAGCCGCATCAAAGACACAAGACATCATGTCATAAAGAGAAATATTAAACGGGGCAGGAACTAAGACACAGCCTTGCTTCACACCAGAGACAACTGCAAGGTCATCCGAGGTCTCTCCACTCCGCTGCACCCTCGCTCGCATACCACTGTGCAGACATTCTATTAAACTTACAAACTTACGCGGGCAACCAAACTTACCCAACACCAGCCACAATGTATCGCGGTTCACCGTATCAAATGCTTTGGTGAAATCAACAAAAAGCGAGTACAACAGCTGATATCGTTCTCTACACTTCTACAACTGACGAGCCGCAACCACCAAATCTACGGTGCTACGACCAGCATGGATTCCACATCGTTCTTCCCCCACATTCGGTTTCCCAACCTGAGTGATAGGGCGATTGAGCAGAATTACGGCAATTACCTTGCCCACACAACTCAGCAAATTCATGCCACTATAATTCGTGCAAAATTGCTTGCTCCATTCGCCCTTGTACAGTGGTAGCACAAGGGCATCCTTCCGCTCAGGAAGTAGCTCCTTCTCAGTCCACACACGTTACAGCAAGTGGTGCAGCGCAGTCACCAACGGGAGTCCGCCGTGTTTCAATACTTCAGGCGGGATCCCGTCGGCACCGGCACACTTGCCGTTTCGCAGCTGGGCAAGTGCTCTCTGCGTCTCATTCGGTGTCGTCGTGTACGCCAGACTCGCCTACACATCGTGCTGCTTGAGACCGTCAAAATGTAGGCCAGTCGATCTCTGTACGGTTGTTCAAGAGGTAGTCAAAGTGTAGTTGCCAGATGTGCATTATGTCTGCAGTCGGTGTGCAGGTAGCGCCTGACCTACCATCGATCAGTGTCCTCAGCGGCTCCGACCTCGGTCCATACATCGCCTACAAGGAGTCAAAGAATCCCTTTTGTTGGCGGCGTTCAGTGTCGCATTCCATCTGCTTCGCCTTCTCCGCCCACCATGCATACATTAAGCAATGGAGCTCTCGAGTCAGTCTCCGTCGAATTTTGCGAAACTGACTATTCTTCTCCAAGTCACTGGGGTCTGCGACATGTGCAGCAAATGCTGCATTCTTCTCCGACACCAATGCGCCAATCGTCGCATCGTTGTCATCAACCCAGTCAGGCCACTTACAGTTTGCGCGCCCGATAGTCTCCTCGGCAGCAGCTGTCACGTGGCCGCGAATGTGGTGCCACAGGTCGTCCACCGTGGCTATGCAGTCCACATCACACAGGCGTGCAGCCATCGCCTTCTCCAGCTCAGTACGTTTCGCCACAGTACCGAGGGAGAGAATGTTAAATTTACGCCGATTCACGGTGGGAGTGCAATACATAGATTTATGATACCATATGTACAGTTTGGTCCGAACCAATTTGTGATCAGTGCCACACTCAGCTCCACGCAGTACACGTGTAATGCGCACATCACGCATATCACGCTGACGTACGATGACATAGTCGAGCAGGTGAGCGTGACCACTCCGTGGGTGCGTCCAAGTTACAATATCACTGGCACTCAGTGCAAACCGAGTGTTCGTGCTCGTCAGGCTAACAGTTGCAAGCCAGCTGAGCTACCAGCAACGGATAGGCATCGTTCCGGTAAGCTACCAGCCAGCTACTAGGCAAAAAGAAAAAGAATTATGTTTTACCCTACGAAATGAGATCGTAGATGGATGGGGTGGGACAAAGAAACTCACAGCACGAACGCCACTGAGGTCGGCTCCTAGCCATCTCAACAAGTGGATCCAACCAAACGTGTTCATCATCTTTCGGATCCCAACCAAGTAGCCGAGAAGATCCAACACAGGCCAGCTCAGAATTGAGGGCCTTCATTCCTCTCGACCAAGTCATCGCTTGGCCACCCCTTCTCTTCCTCCATCCACGCCCCCGGCGCGCAAACAACGCACGTCGCGGGAGTCGGTGGGCTGGCATGCGTAACACGTGGCCGAGTCATCGGAGCCTGGTGGGTGAAATAACGGTGCTGAGCGGTTCATTTCCTTTTCCTGTGCCGTAAACAAGGCGTCAAACATGCTCGTTGCTCATGCGGTGTTCCCACCAGATGTGAGCTAAATTGCGAAGTCACCGGTGGTCGGACGTAACTAGCCTCTTCAGGTCCACTGGTTTGAGGGGCAAGGTTTCACAACCTTACAGTAAGGTCGAACGTACCGCTGCATTGTCCACTCTACCCTTCAGGGAAAGAGTGATGTCGCGCCGGCGCCATAAGTCGCGAAAACTAGCAAAAGCGCCTCGAACTTTTGCTATACAGTTCATGATCTCATCTTCAATCCCACGGGCTCTGATACAACTTCCTAGGTAGTTGACGTTTTTGAATGACTTCTAGCTGATCGCCACGAACGGTCAGCGAAGGCGGAGGTCCAGACCAATCTTGGAGGAACGCTTTGCACTTTGATGGTGCAAAGCAAAACCCGATGTGACGGACAGCCAGTGCTAATGCGTCCAGTGCAGCTTGGCACGTCTGGGAGCCGTCACAGGTTAGGGCAATATCATCAGCATGCTCTAAGTCAAGAAGTCGTTCTCCTCGGAGCAGATCCACACCTTTAAAGTCGTGTCCTGAGAACGCGATTTCCATGACTCCGTCAATAGCGAAGTTGAAGAGGAAAGGTGAGAGCGGGCATCCTTGTCTCACACCGCTGAAGATATTAAAGGGTGAGGACAACTTGCCCTAAGCCCTCACTCTGCCTGAGCTACGTGCGTATAATGCTCAGATAAACTTTACACATTTCCCAGATACACCTTTCCTGAGTAGACAGTCATAAAGTGCACGTCTATCCACCGAATCGAATGCACCTTTGATGTCAAGGAACACGACAACGGTGTACCGCCAATATATGTGACGGTGCTCCAACAACTAACGCAAAGTGAAGATGTGGTCAATGCAGTCACGACCTCGACGAAACCCGGCTTGCTCTTCACGAATCTGACTTTCACGAGTGTCAGTCAGTCTGGGAAGGATGACAGAGGCAAGAAATTTGGAGGCGATGGAGATCAGACTGATTCATGGTTGCCGCATTCCGATCGTGAGCCTCCCTTGAAAATTGGAACTATGACGGTGCAACTCCAGTCGGTTGGGACAGCTTTCTGCTCCCACTAGTAACTCGTGTAAATCATCCACAAGAGCAGGTTCCCCGAATTTGAAGAGATCTGGAGGATGACCGTCTGGTCCCGCGGCTTTATTTATCTTCACCAGTGAGATCCCACGTTCGACTTCTGAGCGAGAGGGTGCATACAAAGTGCAGCTCAGGGAGCGGGGCGATTAGCGGCCGGCGAGAAATCTAACAATTCCGACCGATTAAATTGCCTTTCAAAGTGCTCAACCAAAAGCTCCAAGCGTTTTGACAGGTAGTGGATAGGCTGTCCACTCTCGTCACGTATAGTTTCACCAGGTGTCCTGCTGCCCGTTTCCCGTATCAGACGGAATAACTTACGATGGTTACCAAGGGCAGCGGCCATTTCCATCTCTGATGCACGACGAGACCATCAGCATTCGCGGTCTCTCTTCAGGCTAGCAAGAAGGTTTGCCCGGAGCTCTTTACGAGTTTCATTGTGTTCGCCTCCAGCCGAAATATGCCGGCGAGCATCGATAAGTTCCAGAGACTGCGAAGAGACCTAATGTCCATGTTGGCCATTAGACTTACCACATGAGGATTTGCCTGCTGCTAGTAAGGCCTGGTGAATATGCGACCAGTGTGCTTCAATTGCATCCAGTGAGCGTTTATCCAACTCGCATGACAGCGTACTTTGATACTCATTCAGAA